GTGGTTCACTCCTAGAAGCCACCCTCATTCCCTCAGCAGTGTGGCTGTCTTCTCTTTTTCCTGACCTGGTATGACTGTATTCTATCTCACTGTGCTAGGCTGCAGAGAAACCACACATCCTCTAGTGAGGTCCATAGGTGTTTTATTTAATGTGTAAATATAAAAGGCAAGTCTCCCAGGTACATGGAATATTCAGCATTTCACCCTCAAAAAACTGCTCACCTCCTGACCTTTAACACAGTGAATGCTCCTTCCTTATAGTGTTCTAACATACCAGAAAAAGAAAAGAAAAAAAGAAAACCAACCCTCTGTTTGAGTGGAGCATTAGGGGATGGCAATAGAGAGGGAAGAGAAGCCATGATCAATGGGTCTGATGGGGTCATTTCAAAGGAGAGTCTGCCTCCTAGGTAAATTTATATGGCCTGCAGGCAGTATGCACAAGGCCTGCAGGTGCACTCAGGAGGTCCCTGCCCAAGAGGGAAGGGCCGGGGGGGGGGGGGGGTATGTAGCAGAAACTTGCAGGCATCACTACCTTACTTAAAACAACTCTCCTGCCATTGTAAAAAGTGTCCATGATTCCTATTCAGCCACAGGAGAGCAAAGTACAGAGGGGAGAAAGAGAGAGCGGGTAAAAGGGGGAAGTGCTCAGTTTTACAACAAAACGCAGCTGCTTGCAGTACTGACAGGAAACTACCATTGCTTTTACAGTCACTTCAATGGGGAAAAAGGGGGAGGGGGACCGAAGGAGAGGAAGATTACTTCAACCACACAGAAGAAATCCCAAATCCACCCAGCTCCTCTTGACAAGGCATTTGGCATCTTTGCAAACACTTCCCGCCACTTCCTTTTATCTTTCTCTCTCTCTTGCAGGTCCCCAGATGCAGTCATGATTAATTGAACCCCAAAGCAGCCTAGTAAAAGAGGCAGGAGGAAAAGAGAGAGGGAGGGGCCCCAGCCCCTACCCACTCCTCTCTTGCCCCCCCTCCCTTGGAGGAGGAGAGCAGTGCAGCACACAGGTCCTCTTGCAGCCACAGCACACCAGTCTATTGGACGGCTCATAAAGCAAACATTGCGTCGCCTTCCTTCTCTTCCTTCCGGTGAGGGTCAGAGGTGGCTGGAGGGGAAGGGACCCCAGTTGGGGGGTTGGGAAGCGTGGGCAGTCGATCCGCCACTTTTGCTCGCTCTTCCAGGAACTTGTCAAACTCTGGAAGGAAAGGGCACAAGGAAGAGTTTGAACAGAGATGGAAGAACCTCACCAGAGCAGAAAAGAGTCTGAGGGTTGAGGTGCTGGGGGGAGTCAAGTACACGCAAACCTCATCTGTACGGGACTTTTCTGCATATGTGGGCATGGGAGCAATGCATCCCCAACCAGGCCTGTAGCCATGGTGGGGCATTTGGGGGCAGAGCCCCACCATGGAGGAGCCCTGCCCCACCCCAGGAGGATGCCAGACCCCCACCCCCAATGTGTCTCGCCCCACAGCGGCAGGGAGGCTGGGGAAGGAAAGGGAAGCCACCCTGCCACTTCTGGTCAGTTTCACTCCCTGCAGATCAGCTGCTTCACTCCCTGTATGCCTTTTCTCTCTCTGTTTCCTTTGCTACCCCACTTAATCTAATTAAGCTTCCCACTGCCCTGCCTCCTGCCCCACCAGCCAAAAATTTCTGGCTACGGGGCTGATCCCAACCGTCCTGTGATTTAACAGCCCTATTATGGAGTTCTGAAATCCTCTGGTACCCTGGGGAAAGGGGCAGCTGCATGCATTACTCATTCATACACGAGGTCTTTCCTAATGCGTGTAGACAATGGCAGAGGGCACCCTATGCTGCAAGGATCGGGAGGAGCCTGGGCAGGGTAGCAGACAGCAGCTCACCTTCACTGGTCACCCCTTTCGGATCCTCAGCCTTGTTTTCCGGAGAGGAGAGAGCAAAAGGCAACACAGAAACAAAGAAAGATAAAATCAAAAGTTACGGAGCATTATCAGATGGGATAGAGAATTCCGTTCTTATCAAGATAGAGATCGTGGCACCCAGTCTACGGAGAGGGTGTGTTCTTCCCTGCCTCACTTCATGTCTCTCCTATCTGTAGAAGCAAGCAGCATTGCAGAGACATGGCTACTGAAACCTGACCATTCTGAGCTATCAAGAGCTCCCAGAAGTGATGAACCACAGGCAGGCTCCTATTCTGCATCCGTATCAGAAGAGGGTCAGACAGAAATGTGTGGGGCACTGGCTTGAAACAGAAAGGCAAGCCCAGTGGCTATTATTTTAGGCAATACATGATGAAGCTGATCTGCACAGCTGTCTTGTCTACAAGGGGCAGCTTTCATCTTCACATTTTTGTCCAGAGCAAAACAGCTGAGTGATGTCACAAGACTCAGCCCGTAACTGAGGACTGCAATGACGTAAATCTGGGCGGAAAAAAAGGTATAATGATCTATCACAGGCAATGTTAAGGTGCAAATCAGCCCTTAGCCTCACCCACGACAAGTAGCCCAGCAGGAAGGGAGAACGGATAAAGGCATCATTAGATACTCAAGCAAGGACACGCAAAGCCTGGCTTTATGTTATTACAGTATCAATTAATGCTCCCCATAGACTTGGTGGGAAGTTCACAGGCTACCCTAAGTAATGAGCAAATGTTTCGGTTCTATTACTTACGGCATCAGAGGAGAGCCACTGCTCAATATCTTCCATGAGGGAGGCTTGGGGGACAGGAATCTGGCAAGAGAGGGGGAAAAAGAGAAGAACAAGGCATAGTAAGGCAGAGGAGCATGAGCTGAATCCATTCTTGGAGAAATAATCTTTATTGTCCTTTAACTGAGGGCAACATCTGAAGCTCCTTTTTAAATTGGCCCTGTTCCTGGACCCCTTCCTCTTAAGCTCAACCAATACTGTTTGAGAGGTTAAATGTTTGTCAGTTTCACTCCACACTGACATAATCATTCTAGAGTCACAACAAGAACAACAGTCCTGAGTTCTGTATCATTAACTCACAGCTTCAGAAGTGATTCTCAGGGATGACAAATGGTTTGGCTCCAAGGTCTTAATGGGAAATAGAGTGTGAGTTTTAAGGTATTTCTCCCCCCCCCCCAAGTTATGTTAGTAAGGGGATTTTTCGCAACAAACATTCACAGCAGTGGGGGAGAGGGAGACGGGTATTTATACAGTGCATTTCTGTGGCTGCAGAGTGGGAGAAGTGTATCTATATAACCATGAGACTGTCTACACTGTGAGAAACTTTCTAATCGCAAAATACAATGTTATCCAACGAAGCTGAAAGTCTGAAAAATATAATGCAACAGCCATAAGACTGAAAGATTTTCAGATAGATATAAATACTACAGTCTCCTGTATTCTGGCCAGTACAGGACACAGCATTCTATTTTCAAGTTTTCCTCCACGAGGATGAGTATCAGAAGCTTTAGATGTTGTGAAATCTTCTCTTCATTTTATGTTCTGAACATCCATTCCTAGGACCAAAATGTTTAGTCATGGAAAAAACCCCTCTACTTACCGATGTCAATGCTGTTTTGTTTCCTCCACAGCTTTTCACGTAGACATATAATCAATCGGGATCTGGCATGCCCACATGCTAAGGCATTTTATTTATTCTATCAAGCCTCTGAAGCCCTTAAAGGGCAGCTTTCACTCTTGGAGAGGTTCAAAGTGCGTGAACACAAGTCAGCACTCTGCAGGTAAGCTTTTCATTTTCTCTTCTTAAAGGCAGCATTCATCCTCCCGGCTGGTGAAAGGACTGGTATGAAGTCCAAGACTGCTGGACATGGTCACCTTTGCATAGCTGTAAGCCTTGTATAATTGTTAATAGAGGTGAATGATGTGTGGGGGTGTGTCTTACTCCACAACTGAATCTTAGGCATTCCAGCATACCTCCTTCAAGAAGCTGAGGCAGAAGCAAGAAAAATAGATCTATGCTGAGGACAAATGGCAGAGGATGAACATCATCTTCATACCCTGCTTCTGAATTTCAAGAGGTAGCTGGTTGGCTACTGTTGGAGGAAGAAAGATGCCCTAGATGGTCTGATCCAGGAAAGCTTGTCTTTAAGAACAATGAGAACTCAAGACCACGGCTGCACAGACAGGCTGACATTTCAGGTCGACAGCTATGCACATTCTACTGAACCTAAGAGGGGCATGTAACCTAAAAAGATTTTGTCTCCATTCCCAAAGAAAGATTATTTGGAATCACAGTGGCATTCCAAGAAATGAGGAAGAAGCAGACATGACATGAAGGATGGTTTATGGTCCCAGAAAACTGGCCCCACTCCCAATCCAAGGCACAGCCAGAACTGGTTTTTAAGACAGTGAGGATCTTTCCCTTTCACAAGGAAACTGATCAGCGCAGAAAGAATGCTAAAGGAACCAGGATCAGTTCAAATCGTCAGACCTAAAAGTGCAACAGGAAATTCTCAAAATAAGCTTGGAACAGCAAAGGACAGGAGAGAGTTAGCACTCCCATAGGTTGCCCTAAGTAGAGATAAAAAGCAAGCCCTTGCTATTTGCTGCACTAAAGTTTACCAACCTTTGGTTTCCAAATCCAAGGAAGAGGGAAA